GGGGTTAGGGGGGGTGTCAAACTGCTGCAGATCCAGGCCACTGCTTGTGTGTGGGAGCAGATGCCTGACTCTCCATAGTGCTGCCAGCATTTTAACCCATGCCGCATCACTCATATGTAAAATACACAGAAAAAAAGAGCATATGTATTACTCTATATGCAGCCTGTATATGCAGATTTGATGATGTCATTTTCTAGGGGTAGGGGAAAGATGAGAATGAGAAGCCAGGTGACTGGCTTTAATAGTGTAGTGGCAGCTGTGGGATACATAAAATCACCTGTCTCCCCTATCTGGTAGCTTAAATACACAGAAGAGAAGCACAGGAGATAGGCAGGTTCATCTAAAGCAGTGGTTCTCAACCTGTCTAACCTCAAGACCCACGTTTGTCGTCGGTCATTAAGTCCATTGCTATGCAATGGAACACACGGCAGTGTGGGCTGCTGTGCTGTGATGGAGCACCATCCATATGTGCATTGCTTGTACAGTTCCCATGCGTGCCCTGTAGCGGTGCTGGTAGCCAGCATATGATGTCACTCCAGTCCAGGCACCGCTACAGGACATGCGAGGGAGCTATAAGCAATGCATGTATGGATTGAGCTCCCTGGCAGCCATACCACCTGTGCACCCCACCTCAAGCTAAAACTCAGTGCCAGGCAGCATATTAGGAATGGCTGCTCAGTGCGAGAACTGACATTGCTGCACTAGAAGGAGGCTGATAAGCCTCTCGCCAAGAAAAGTGGAAGGCATGCGGCGACCCACTGAACACGGGGTCACGACCCACCAGTTGAGAACCAAGGATCTAAAGGACATAAAAATCTCTAAGTGGCAGAATGCTGCAGGCTGGTTGGAGCTTGCTTAAGTGATCCCGTGCTGCCAACACACAAGGATGAAGGGACTAGTACAAACTGTTGTCAAGATTAGGACTGCGGGTTCCTCTGGTTCACCCCATTAACAGTGGAGATTACTGGAGGCATCCCTATATACAAGGATGGGGTGTGAAGGCCACCATTGGCCTGACAACTGACAGCATTCACACAATGCTGTCAGTTGCTGTCAGCACACTGGGGTGTGATGACATTGTCATTGCTGTCCATTAACTTACTTGTATTCTAAAAAATCTGAATAAATGGATTTATGAGTTATTCACGTAGGCCTAGTGGTGCCAAGAAGATACTTTATAAATGTAGTAAATATGCACGCAACTAGGGAATACGTGCATATGACGTGCATGTCTCATAGCACACCACCTTTGTACAAGTCTATAGGAATAAGAAAACTAGCCATACAAACTAGAAAAGTATCTATGTTTTTAAACCAATCCCGTCCCCTTCTGGAGGTCATGTGGAGTCTGACTGCTAATAGCAGCAAAGCCACCCTATTCCAAATTTCAGCTACAATGTAAAATTATGCAGATGATTTCAACCTCTTATAAACCCCCTTCTAAATAATAAAAGACAAAACATTTTGGAAGGGAATTTGTTTCTGGTTGTGCCTCGAGAGAAAAAACATGTGAGTCTGAGCTTGTGCCAAAACAGTTCTTACCAACTTCAGAGAAAGCTTCATGGCAAAATTGGAGATTCAAAATGAAACGTAAAAAAAGGGGGTAGGGGAAGAGAGAGAAAAAGGGGAGGAAGAGAAAAAAAAAGTGTACATCAGCAAAGAATGGATGTTATGAGGCTTGTTCTCTAGAGCATAAAACGTTCTTCTAGCACCATGACTTTGGAACTGGGTGATAAAATGTAACACAAAACACAACCTGTGCGAAAGTTCACAAGTTCAGAGGCTCGCGGCCTGGAAAATGGAAGCCTCCCCATATCTGTTATCATGGCAGCTGCTTGACAAGGATGTTGTTTTAAGCTATTGTGCTTGGCACAGCTACATGTACAGTTGTAGATTATTCATAATATTAAACCTAATTGTTTTACTTGGACACGGTTCTCATAACAATCTTTACTACAGAGTGGAGAACATGTAAAGATTTTCCTTATTATTCAAGTCTAAAACTCCCTAATATTTGAAGGTGCTGAAAACATTTGGGTGATTCTGGGATTGGTTGAGGTATTGAGGAATCAGAGATCTTGCCTCACTCCTTACCGAAACATCAAAAGACCCGTAAAGACGGGTGGGTGCTTGTAGTGACCACGGATGGCACCGTGAGAAACTCAAATAAAGAAATAACGTCACCAGCACTCCAAAGGATAATTTAGCAACAGTCCATTTATTGTCACATTGCCATTCAATGCAAGCGCTTTCGGGGCCTCAAGGGGTCCCCTTCATCAGGCTCAGAATGACAAAAACACTGAAGGATCAGAAGCACGAGTGGCCTTCTAAGCAACGGCCCACACTCATTCGCGCGCCGTTTGTACATTTGATTCCCCTCAGGTTAGTAACATTTGAATATCCTATGGCGCGAATGGGCTTTGTGTTGACACTGCCTCTATGGGAGGGGTCTGTTTTAACTTCACAGTTGGATGTCTATTTAAGGTGTATGATCCTTCGGTGTTTTTGTGATTCTGAGCCTGATGAAGGGGACTCCTTGAGGCCCCAAAAGCGCTCGCATTGAATGGCAATGTGCCAATAAATGGACTGTTGCTAAATTATCCTTTGGAGTGCTGGTGACGTTATTTCTTTATTTGGTTGAGGTATTGGTCACTTGATCTTTGCTAAAGAGGATTGTTAATTAGATGGAGTCTGTGACCTAAATGTCAGTCAGATCTTCTGAACCACTAGATGATCGATGCATGGGCACTGGTCATTTGACCATGCAGCAGCCTGACCCAGAATCACATTTATCCTTGCTTATGTTTTTATCACTTTCAGTCACATTTTAGAAATCTATCCTTCCAAAGTAAATGAATTTTAGAGTAAAGAGGTCTGTTTTATAAACGTCATGTGAAACATGGGTTTGTTAGGTAGAGAAGTGATGATGTGCATAGTGCAATTACCCATAACCACCTACCTAGTGCGTATTTTCTGATTGATTGCTGTGTTATTGCACATATGTCTTTGTTTTTTTTGAAGAAATTAAAAAAATTGCTGAAACAATATGTACACATATGATGACCAAAAGCTCAAGCTATGTATCCTATATAATGTATGAATTAGATTATGTTTTAATTTTTTCACGACTCTCTGCCTTGAAATTAAATATAGAGAACACATCTGCATCATTCTTTTCTTGCTAATCTGATATGAAGACAGGAAAGAACATTCACATTGTGAAACAGATGATACAAATGACTGTGAAAAATAAGTCAGACAGTTGTAACTTGTGACCTTTTAAAATGGCAGTCAGTATTGTTAGTCTTGTCTAATAGACATGCAAAGCAAAACTTTCTGCTGGAAGAAAAAAAACTTTCACTTTTTTAATCAAGTTTTCATTGATTTCATGCAGATGTTATAGGGTTCCTTGATATTCACTTGTTTGCTCCAGTGTTATCGGCACAGTGTAAACAAATATACTGATATACTGTAGGTAATCTAAGGGGGGGGGGCAAGCTCCAATAGTACTGGCAACGGTAAACCATTGAGAGGTGTTAGCGGTTACACTGACTTGTATACAGTAAAAATTGCAAAGCAATGCAAAAGCAACAATGAGGGTGAATAAAAATGTCTCCGTTTGATCACAGACATGTCCTCTCAAAACCAGACAAAAGCTTAAGCACCCAGGAATAAAATGTTACATATTGGGGAAATCCTGTACTCTGCGAGGACATGACATAGCTTGTGTGAAACATTCTCTGTACTGTACGAGGAGGAGACAGAGATGGCTGGGTACAGTAAGTGGGCAGGGACAGGCACAAAGCTGTTACTGCAGTGACATCAAGAAGAGAATACAAAACACAAGCATGAAGCCAATCACTACGAGGTGAGGTCTTCTCCAAGGTGATAGAGCTGCAGCTTCTCCTGACCTCCTTGCAGTGCCAAATGACGGTGAAACGGATAAGCTCACAGCACATATGTAACAATAGGTGATTGCAATAAGAACTGCCTAATTTTACTCTAATTTATTCTTCTTCGTCATATTGCAGTGCTAGTTTCATTGTGATTAGTAATGGGCAAGATCCGCAGTATGTCTTTTTTGTGTGTGCTGAAACCATAAATCTGGTAGGTAAATTAAAAATAAAGTGTGTGCCCACTTTATCATGACGCCTTAACCGTAGCCGAGGTACATGAAACATCATCAGCAAACCAAATAGCTTGTCCAAAGGGGTTTTAATAATAACATGTATGCTGCCCCCTTCAGGAAATAACGTGATACTACAGCAACCTACTTGTGAACTTTGGCACAGATTTGACAAATGCAGTTTTGGATCCATTTACAGATGTATACAGACACACAACTTTTTCAGAGGGTTACCTACTAACTAATAATGCTCAGCATGGAGTCTACACAGAACAACTACTACTCCTGTAAGGCTCACACTGGTGCCACACAAACACAGAGGACCTTAGTTATTAACCCTTCTCACGTAAGGCCTGTTCTTGTTGCCCGCAGGAACCAGTGAGATCCCTCCCATTTAATGTCAAGTGCAGGATGGAAGTAACTGATTGGTGGTTATTTTGTCCTCTAAATGTGAACTACAAAAACATCTCTGGGCAACACTCCCATGTTATTTACACCACCTTTTAAATACATGGCCCGTTGTGTTTCTGGCACTGCTAAGCTTTACTCAAGAGCACCTAAACTCTGCACATCCACTACGCATCTCACAAGCGGTGAAATGTAGCCCTGTTTCTCCTCTGCTAGAGAGCTGCACAGCAAACTCAAGCAGCCCAGGAGACCCACGGGATGCAGTTTGATCTCATGTAATCATAATGATTAGCTGTTAAATCTTTGTCCACTGTGACAGCTAAGCCAAACTTCAAAAACCAATGCGGAATGTAGTCCATGGATATTTTAGGGTTCACTCCTTTAAGTGAATATATATTTGATGGCTATCAATGGGAAACAGAGATTCACTTTCACTAGTCTAGAGCAGTAGACAGTCTGATGTTTCTCTTGTGAATTTTGAAATTATATTTCCTAACGTATCTTCCCAGACTATGGAAAGAAGTTCATGATGGGACTGTTAAGAGTCACTTCTCTCCATATAGCTATGCATAGATGTTCTAGAGTTTAATCACCCACTGGGTTTTCATATCTTTCAGAGACCCTAGTAGCTGGATTGCCCCCTCTCTTTGCTGGTAGTCCCAGTGTTGCCCCCACAGACATGGAGTCGCACTCCTTTTGATGCAGAAAGGGAAGAGTTAAACCTCCTGCTGCAGCGATTGTAAGATCACGTTAATAAAAATTAAAAGGAGAGTGAGATGCCCTGGTAGTGGTCGTGGCAGATGGACGTAGCTGAGAGCTAAGGTGTAGAGATCTCTCTACCAGAATCCAAGAGAAATATATAAATCTGGTGGAAATTCAACACTCTAGCATCTATAAGTTTAGGTGAGCTAACCCGAAAGTTTTATTTCTATGTCCAAAGAAAGAACTGTCCTTGGCACCTACAGCAACAAATCAGCTGCACCTTTTCATTATCACAAGGTGGAATGGCATAATAAGCTGATGTAGTCGCCAAGACCCATTGCTCCTTCAGACACAAACAGGGAACACAGTGTCAAGAATATGTGACCTGTGGAAACAGTTCAGAAGTCAACAGCTGTGTGGGCAGACTATGAAAACTGATGGGTCACTAAAGAAAACCACCATGACCTCAAGAGAAACACGGATTGCCAATATCCACATCACAGCAACTCAAACTAATGAAAGCAAATGTCTAGCTAGGGGCTACAGGGTACATCTAATGGTTTACAGTATATAGCTCTAGTTCTATAGCTGTCACAATTAAACAGTGATTACAGCACGCTGTAATAGGCCTGGGGTGATGCACGGCTCTGCAAACTCAAGAACACAAGATGAAGAGAGGAAATGCAACTTGAAATCTTTGGACCAGCATGCACTTAGGTTCAACAACATAACATGTCAAGTGGAACTCTAGCAGCCACAACACATTTGTTTGGTTTAGACAGTGTGTGGAAGGGTTAGATCCTTACTAAAGTTTTGTTTTTTTTGCAGCCCATGTTGGGGAAGATTTGCCTTCATTTCAGATCCCTGTAACAGTTGGCAGCAAGACAGTAATTGAAAAGATATCTCTCCAAAGTGACATAAATCTTTCTGGGTAGAGTGATGAATGGTTTTAATTACTGTCAGCTTTCTATCGTTACCTTCAACCCCATTGGTGAGATTCTCCTGCGTACTTGTCCTGGAACAATGCTTATTGGGACAGAGGGTTGGAAAAAACCCACTACAGTAAAGGCATCAATTAAAAAAAAGTTCCCAATCTATGCAAAACTAAATAAGAAAAGTTTTGTATGGACATACACTTACAAATGTATGTAATCGCTAACAATGAACTTCTCTTATTTGCTACCTATTGATCTGTCCATTAAGTGCACAAAAACCCTTTTAATCTCATCAGGGATTCAGAGCTGTGCTCTGCATACTTCCTGTGTTATCTCAAAGAGCCTTCCTACTTTAGAAAAAAACACTAAGCAGGGCTGACACACCC